TATTTGGCACCTACTGAGTCATTTTAAAAAAATATATAATTATCGTTGCAAGTAATTTTAATGTTCTTTTAAAAACAAATCGATCGTTTTAAGTATAAAACATTACACTATACATTAAAAAGAAACCAAATTATAACATTAAATGAGTGCTTTTTAATAATGTACTGTCATGAAAAGTATTGAGTTTGTAATAATTCACTCTAAAGACAGTACTCATTCCATAAATACAGAGAACTGACAGAAGATCAAGAACCTTTATGCACATCGTTTTAATGGTTCGATAACTGATGTTTAGCTGTAATCATAGTGACAGTTCATGAGAGCTACACACGTAAGTTCAAAGGAATACTGCTGCTTTATTTCCACTCACTATATAACCTTTTAATGTACTACCCCTTTATGCTTTAACGACAATAGTTCATCTTCATACACATCCATACAAAAACTTTTTGGATATTTTCAATGTTAGCAGTAATTCAGCTATTTAATAATAAAAAAAAGACGCGCCTGCTAAAACAAATTAAAAGAAACAATTAAGATTATTTTCTGTATAGCGTTGTAAATGCGGAATAGATCAAATATAATAATTAGAAGAAATTTTCATCTTTATCGAAAGTGAAAAGAACGTGGGAGAGCCACGCTTCGGCATGAATGGGCCGGCTCGACCGGAGTGATACCACGGCCTCACAGAAAACCGACGTGAAGCAACGCTTGCGTTGTGTTTCGTCGTGTGAGTGAGGTTACCGGAGGCCCAACCCCTCCCTATTTCCTTCCCTCTACCCCTCAACCCTTCCCTCCCTATGAACATATTTGTCCCTCAAAGGCCGGCAGCGCGCTTGTAGCCCCTCTGGTGTTGCAGGTGTCCATTGGCGACGGTAATCACTTACCATCAGGTGATCCGTCTGCTCGTCTGCCCCCTATCCCATAAAAAAATAAAAAAGTTTAAAATATTTCTTGGGCTGTTTGGGTGGATTGCCTGAACATTAATGAAAATACGCTCTGTAGCGGAGAAAAAGTAACAAGTGCTTGAAAGATTCATCAGTCATGTCCCGGATTGCCAATGGTCGTGGGTTCCAGTCCCATTTCAGAATGGCAGGGACAAAGTAGATTTTTGAAGGATTTTTAATTAAGAATAATAAAAAAGTCAAGTTTTATTAGGGCTTTGCTAAACTTGTAAATTCTCATTGTAGTCGGGCGACCTCTGGTCTTGACCCATTTCAGTTCAATTTTAGCTGTCGTATTATTTATTCCTTTTGCGATCAGTAAACACATAAGTTATAAATTTTAGAATGTACTCATTAATCTCTTTAATTTGATATTCATAATGCTATAATTGAAGAAATGTAATTTTTTTATATTTTTTTAATTTTCTAATGATACCCTAGACATTAATATCCGTTAAGTCTCTCAAAATTTATGGTGGAATCAAGAAACTCACATACCTACATTCATACATTTAACCTAATGTTAATGTTAGGTATACACAGCCTCGGTAAAGGGTACACCGTCTCTTCTTTCAATTTATTAAGGTTTAAATCAAGTGAAGAAATTTGACAGTTTTGTAACCTGAATTGCCGTTGACTACGGATACATAAAAAATGGAAAATTCGTAGATCAAAGGTTGTTCTTTAAGAAGTCAGCTATGTAGAAGTTATCGGTGTTTAAAAAGTAGTAACTTAACAAATAAGAATCAATAAAAAACATTAAGAAAACTATGTACATTTTAACATGTTTCCTAACTAATCTAACTAATCAAAACTACAACCAATCTCTTATATAAAGTTATTTATTGCCATTACCGATTTAGTAACTAAATCGCATGCCTCCGTAAACACACGAAAGTGAGATTGGAATTCCATCAATCCAACATATAATCTCGCTAATGTGTCATTTACACCTAAGATGCAAGATGATGCAATGCAACGAGATGCAACGCATTATGTAACTTGCAAGTGTGACTGAGCGGCCGGTGGCTGGTCCGCATCACCTGTTTCGCCCCACATTCTAAATCATGGACTAATTGAGTAACTATCAGAGTTGGTAATGCCAAATGATATCGCTGAAACTTCGGATACTTTAAGTTCGGGCAGCTATTGAATCTTGTACACGAAATCCTTGTAAAAGACCATTTCGTAATAAGGTGGCTTATGTAAATATCATTATCAGTGCGTATTGTTTTTATCAGTCAAAAGACAACTCAAAGGTTCTAAAAATGTTGGAAATAAAAATGTTTTCAATAAGCGTATTCGAATTAGGTATTATTGTAATTAAAAATTAATTTGTCTGTTATGAATGCCCTTATTCATAACTGACAAATTCATGTAATGTCGTCTTGGTATGTTCGACTAAAATTTGTTTTCTTTCGATGTCTCTTATTTGATTCCCATTGAAATAAGTTTTCGTAAACATATGCACATAAATTGAATCATAAATCTATTTAAATTTAAACTGAATTGTTAATACATGTCGGTTTCTCGTATAAACTTAATTTGCACTGTCATCACCACAAATCAATTTTAGCAGCGTGAGACCGAAAGTGAGCTTTTGGTGTGATTTAAGTAATAAGAGGCAGCGGATGAGTTTTATGCGAATAAAAAATCTGCAATAACTAAATTAATTCTGTAGATGATGATGTAACTGTACATATAATAACCCTTCCTTTGCAGTTGGGTAAAATACTGATATAACTGCCACATGCTTGGGTAATTTATATTTTTTGTACTTATACTTGACTTATATACTAGTGAATGTCGAAAAGATTGTACATCCATTAGTTCGACTTTGGCGGGCCACTACCGTGGATGTAAACAAAGCAGAAGGCATTACCTAATATTTAACCGACTTCAAAAAAAGGAGGAGGTTATCAATTCAACTGTATTTTTTTTCTATTTGTTACCTCATAACTTTTTACTGGGTGGATAGATTTTCATGATTCTGTTTTTATTTGAAAGCTAATGCTTGCCGTGTGGTCCCATTTTTCTTGAAAAACTTTGTCTTTTTTTTTCTTCTTCAGTTTGGATTACACTAGAGGCATCAAAGTTTCGTTTTATGACGTCAATAAAGAAATTTCCTATACTGTATAAAGTTTCATTTGCATAGTCCTTATAGTTTTGATTTTATTGATATCAAAAAAACGTCGACTTCATCACTTATAAACTCACTGATGGTCATCAAAACAGTTTACTTCCTACAGTCTTAGATAGCTTTTTCTTTTTGATTGTTTGACATTCAGTAGATTGTCAAATACATACTAGTCTATGTATTATAAATACATTTTCTTGATAATGTTTTAGTCATTATTTTTGCTGCTACTTCGCTCACACATTCAGTTAGCATATCATACGTGAATGAACTTTTATGACCAGTATATTCAAAGCTTATTCAATACAAACCATTTTTTTTCTCTATATAATTAGTATAGAACAGCATTCTGCACTTCTTCTCTATATAAACTTTCTCTGTGTTAAATTTCATACTCCGTCGGTGTAATTTTTATACACAGGACTCCAAAGCTTTTGCTTCACGCATTAATATGATTTTATAACTCACGCGCTTTTGACTTACGCTTGTTGTTACGATAGAGTCTCGATGTCTGAGTAGAGTAAGTACTAATAATTTACAATTTACGCTCATTATTTATATATAAATAGTTGGGTAATAGTGTGTGTTTGCCGATTGTAGGGCAATATCAATTACGTTCAATTGAACAATTAGCAATGTATACGTATAGTATTTTAGATAAATTGTTAAAAAATACATTCAAAATGAAATAATATTTATATACTTTCTAAAAAAAATATAGTTTTTTTTATTATCCCATGTAGATATTTAGCAAAATGTATCACCAATATTGGTTAATTCCTTAAAACTTTTTAACTAAAATAAATTAAACCATCATTTAAAAACATTTTATATTCTTTAAACTTACTAACTTAATATTTATTATTGGAAATTAAAATCATTCAACCTTTTATCGAGTTTACTTTAGAAAATATACAAATGTAATATTCTTTTAGAAAACAAATAAACAATAATAGAAGTATATTTCAGATATTTTTATTCTTAGTCTTAGTGTGTGATGTAAAACACATTGAAGAGCTCTATGGCGCAGTGGTTAGTGCGTTCAGCTTACGATAGGGAAGTTAAGTAGTTTTAGCAAAGGCCAAAAGGAGGGGTAACCAAAAATAATGTCTCCTTTTAATAAAAATAATGTTTCGATACCAAAAGATTATTTATAAAATACAAATATATACATACACACTATAAATATGTATTAAAATAAATAAACGTACAAATAGATATATAATGATATTTATCGTACAATGCTAGAATAAGCGACAAGTTTTTAATAAATTCCATATGCATAGTCGCCTAGTTTGATATCTGAATGAATATTTAACTCGACCACCGCTTCCTACAGACTGTCTACCCCGATTATTTTCCAGCAAATTGTTGCGAACTCGTATTACGCCATAATTCACTTGACAGAGTGGAAAATTGTGTTAAAACCAGCCCGCTGCCGTGCAGTTTCTGGTTGAAACTGTATTTTATCTACTACATGTTACATAAAGCCGTTTGTTGATCGAAAGATTGTGACGTCACTCTCTACATGTAGAAAACTGTGATATATTGTTTTTAATTAAACTAAAGGAGACCAGAATCATCTTTTTAGGAGCCTTAATCTTTTTATCTAGCTATGTTTTATTTGATCTGTTATGTAGATTAGGAAATCCAATATCAAAAAATATATTCTTAAATTCGTTAAAACCCGGACTGAAAGTATTTTAATTAAATTATTTCATTTTTATTTTAATTTGGAATATTAAGTGTCAATACGTCAATGGTAAAATCATCAAACCAAAACATTAGCGCTAACTGTCTTAACCTCAAACAATGAAAAACTAAAATTTCGAATAAAAGATCTCTCAATTTGAATAGATATGCTGTCTTTATTTGATTTACAACATTTTAATGAAACACAATTACTTTCCTTCTTACAGATACTTCGTGAGCACCATCCTGCAGTTCCAGATATATCGCGCTCTGTGCGAGAAGACTGGTCAGTACATCCCCGGCGACCCATCCCGGCCGCTACACAAATGTGATTTCTACCGCAACCCTGAAGCCGGGAAAATACTTACGTGAGTATTTCTATTTAGATTGATAAATAATTTTTAAAAAGTTGTACAAAGAAAACAGGCCACTCAACTAAAATGAGTTATGATTTATATACAAAAAAATACAACTTCTTTCTAAATTATAAACATATGGATATAAATAATTTATGAATACAAAAGAAAAGGAAATTACAAAAACTACATATCTTTTAAATTCAATGATATGTATAGGTAATCAATTTAACATCCCTTTTTGTAGTAAAATTGGAATAATATGTATGTCTCCTTTCAGCCTAGGCATAACATTTATAAAAAGTATCCCTATAACTTTCTTCCAATAACTGCCACAGGAAAGCTGGATAGTGGCATGGTTAGTTCATGCGGTCTGGAATTGTTTGTTGGAAAGAAAATTAACCAGGGGCCTTATTTTCTAATATGAAAATCTACTAATATTCACGAAGTTTACGCCACAACTATTTGGCAAGACGGGGCGTGAAGAAGCACCTTGCAGGTCGGCAAGGTGAGGTTGGCTAGTGCAGTACCTACGTACTGTTTTCACTAGCTGTCCTCGCATTTGGACTACGCCTCCGCTTACCATCAGGTGGAGCGCAGTCATTTGCCCTCCTTTTCATATAAAAAAAAAACGCATATTTAGGAAATGTCAAACAAAAGAGTGGTATACTAAGAGCAATATTTCATCGAGTTTAAGTTAGTTTTTATTGTTACTTGATCATGCAAATCATCTTCGTTCTAAAAGCTAACGCAACTTAAGAGTTATGTATTTCTATAAATCGCTATCACACTCACTATACATTTGAAAGATAATGCGATAGATTTTGATAATAAACAATTAGCATACCGATTGAGGATCAAACTATGGCTATTATGAGGAATATATGTAGTATGAATAAATTAAAATACGAAAAAATAAATAATATTTTTTAACTTGACATTACAATCGCATTCGATTTTTTCCACCGTTCGAATAACAATAATATCCGTTATGGAGCCAATCGATCTTTTCACATAAAAGTCGATAAACATCTCAGCAACAATAGTTATACGATATAATAGTCGTAGAGTTATTCCATAGTCGTGATAGTGGAACCTTGACCAATAGAACGAGGCTGACCTTAACAATAATTTAAAACAAAACAATTTTTAACAAAATTACACTACAATTTCGCATTTCATCAGTCGCTCGTTGTGTTGGTGGATAATGATTGTTCTAATTTTGTTAAATGAGATTTCATAGTAGATATGTGGACAGACAACATACGTGGCACTGGCACTGCCACACTGTGGCCCATGACGGGCGAACACAGGTCATCACCATTGTGTAGACGCCATGATCGCCTATAATGGCCCATGATGTGAGCGAAGTTGTGGTAAACTCTAGTTTTGAAAAAGATTGTTCCATAATATTTTTTTAGACCTTATTTTGAAATTCTAATCTAAATTTACGGTGATTAGGTGAACAGTAATAGAGCAAGGCACTAGCCTTCCTTTGGTTAAGTGAACAGTAATAGAGCTAGTGCCTTCTAGGTTAAAAAGCGAGAGAAGATCGCAATACCCTTTTTGTCTCTCTCTTTCTCTCTCTACTCGAGCATGCGTAATCATTATATATGGACTAGCAATAGTGAAATCGTCAAATAAAATAAGTACTGACGATTTTTTTTTATTTTACTTCCAATCTTGTTGTTTGGAAGTATTTGTGGATACGTGTTTTATTGGATGAATATATATAGCTTAAAGGTTTGTTCTTGTGATCGTCCATTAGAAATTATAACGTAAGCATGAAACCAAAACTGAAGATGGTTCTATTTACGTTTCAAAATTTTTCGATATCCAAAGCCAAGTAACTCGCTCTACAGTTTCAAGGTCATCTCTGAGATCCCGGGTTCAATACATATGTAACGGGTCTGGGTGTTGTGGTACCTTCATTGTTTCAAGTTATTCAAGTAAATTTATTGATATACAAGTCCTTTTTGATTTGAGATTTTATCAATATTAAATCCCATTCCGTACCTTGTCGAGCATCTGTCTTTGCCGAATTTTCTACCTAAATAATTTCTATAACGTAACAATGTATTATTATCACTTTCTCAGAACTAAAATAATATATTTCACTTGCCAAGTAAGTATTAATTCTGCAAAATTCACTAGCTCAATTAAAATTCCCTTCGAGAAACCAAACTGAAGATAATTTAATTAATGCTCGTTATCGAAGGATAAGAAAACTTCAAAAGCAATCTCTATTACGTTACAATAAAAGCTCTTTTATATAAAAGAAACAGTTTGAAATAAGGGACAGTTTTAGAGTACATTCGTCTGGTGATCAGGAAATATCCAATTGTGCGTTAAATCATGCGGGCGCAGTAGAATATAATGTAAGAGTGTATTTAGAACTGTTTAAGTATTATTGGTAATTATTTATATCTGCATATTCTATTAACTAAAGTACGTTTTGTAGTAACATTTTGTCTTAGCCCATTGCACGAAAAAAGCGTCTAGTAAATACGTTAATGCATCTCTTTTAATGCTTGTTTCTGGTTAATATTTTTATCTAAATAGAAATATTAATTACAAATCCATTCATCCAATGCCGTGACAATTCCATAACAAAGTTGAGTTAAAAATATTTTTTTGCTACCACAGCATAACGCCGGATTTTACGCAAATCGCATCCAAAATTCCGGAAGTTCTATCACCATGAAAACAGGAATCAATAAAATTTTCTCAAAAGAAAACATCACAATATTATCCTCGAAATTCACTAATACATCTCAGACACATACAATGATCATCTTCATTCGTCAGCCAATTCACCAAAAGACATATTAAATTATACACCATAACCTTCCCCATGACCCTATCTAGCTAAGTATAACAAAATATAAAACAAAGGCGCAACGAATTTTAATGGACGGGTAATTTTCATCAATATTCTGAATGAGTGAAGAGGATTATTTATTTGTATAATATAGGACCATGCGGGCGAAGCCGAAGGCGGAAACCAAATATATTTATAATTTGTGATTTCCACATTTATTTTTCCTAGAAATTTATAAACTTTCGTAGGACGAACAAAACGAGAGATAAATTGTATGATTTTACGCTCATAATGTAAGTTTATCGTGATAAACTTACCGAACTCATTCGTAAAATAATAAGTAATAACCGAACTCCTTAAGTAATCGGTACTGATAATTGCAAATCCTACTGACTATACCCGTAGTTTGGTAAGTCTGCTATTTATACCCAAGTCTATGGACACAAGCACTGTCAGCATCAACATCGACTAATCAGAAAGCATTGCATTATTTACCGCATTTCAAAGATGCGTAAAATTAAATACACATTAGTTTATAAATTTACCACGAGACGTCGCAAATTGATAAATTTACGAAAATGTGAGCGTAAAATAATGCAATTTATATCTCGTTTAGAATCCTACGAAAGTTTATAAATTTCCTAGAAAATTTATCAATTTGCGGTGCTTGTTATTTTCCGGTGACATATATATTATCTTGAATGTTAAATACTGTCTAAATAATTTAATCTGTAAGGTATTAAACAACAATTTAATTATATTAATAAAATATTAATCTTGCTTCTTAATTAAATCGGAAATCGTAAGTTAATTAATTATTAAGAATTAACAAATCGATCTTTTTAAATTAAATCACAAGCTATTCAACACGTCGCCAAGCAAAATATAGTTGATATAACAAAAACTAAATCTATTCCGTTCACAACTTTGCATTCTGAAGGTCGTACTCCAGCGACAAATATATGACAATCAATCACAATGATAATATGAACCTGTATTGTATAAAACCAATTTGTCTTGTACCGACCAATTGACTGCCTAAAATATGATTAAAGCCCGCAGCCTGTATAAGGATATGACTTAATCCTTATACGTTACAACTAATATCAACGCTCTGTCCATCTATCACAACACAAAAATTGTCGAACAAATTGTACCACGTCTTGATATTGTCAATGTGAAGTCAATTAAAAAATAAGAATATTAGACCTATCTACTTACACAGAGAACTTAACCAATGATCAGCATGTATTATATTTACCCAAAAGAAACAAAATAAATAAAAGAATAGATTAGTATAGCCAGCAATCGCAGCTGTGAAAGCATGAATAAGAAATATAAAGTATGAGGAATGGATGTGAAAAAAAAAATAAAACTGGAGTGAAAAAGTAAATCTAGGAATAAAAACGTCCTGCTACTGAGTAAGGAGCGATAGGTAGGACAAACAAATCAAAAAATCAATTTTGTTACAAAACAACCTCGAACTAATTATCCAACGCAGCGCTGTCACGGCATAGAGATTTATTAAAATAAAACGTTTATTCCCTTTGACAGTAGGTTTTAATTAATTGAAATTTTTTATATTGTTTCCGGTCGGTTAGCTACTGCACTATCGAGATCTCCTATGGTTTTACAATAAATATTAGAAAACCTTAATCGAATTAATTCATTCTCTCAATCAGAAGTAAGTATGTTATATCAACATTACAAAATTCGAGTCAAAAATTTACCTATTTCAGATTGAATCGATAAGTTACCGTTAATAAATAATTGGTGATCGAGCGAATTACAACATCCGATGCTCGCTTGCGGCGCTGCGGACATCACGACTTGCAAATAAATGTGAAGCTATGGTCGTTCTTAGGGCTAACTGGAGCAAACCAAGCGTCTTATATTATGAAACTTTGTTTATTGCCGGCTACATTTAATTAATTGGTTCTAATAATTTCTACGATGTAGAGCCTATGCATGTAAATTGTTACTGTTTCAATTCAAAGAGTTTGAACTAAAAAATCCTATATTTATCAGAGTTCTTTTTTTATTTCAACAGAATTTAAAAAAGAATAAGGTTCATATTCATCTCCAATATGTTTATCGATAAATTTCCTATCTTGGTTTATTAAATATAAACAATCGTGTACTTTTCAATGGAACTTTTCGTGATAAAAGTTGGGAAAGACAAAAGGAAATG